TTCCTTCCTGTAAAACGTTACCTGAGAATGTGGTGAGGTCTGGAGAGCCCGTCTCATCGGGAGGGATCGAGTCTGATCCCGTGTCATAAGACTGAGTGAAAACAGATCTAACAGCAAGAAAATAGAAAGAGAATCTCTCTTTGAATACAACGAAATGATGAAAAACCTTGTGAATACTCAGATATTACATATATACAACAAAAGGATGAAAAACCCTGTGAATACTCAGACATTACATATATATATATATATGTATTTGTTTAGTTATCTATAGAGAAACTTTCCTGTATTTTTAAAATAGAAACTGAACAAGGGTCCAAAAACTTGACCCTCGATTTTCTCAAACATCATTTTTGGGGATAGCCCCCTTGTGCTTAAAAACGATCAAGTGAACCCCACTACATCTTGCTGCATGATTAAGCCACACATGGCATAAGATGGAGCAAGAAGCTAGAAATAGAAGAGGAAGTAGAATGTTCCATTCTGTTTGTCACAATAGAGATTCAGGAGTTTGTCTCCTGTGGGGGCTGGAGACCCCTTGCTGTGCTTCATATTCATTAATCAATGGAAAAACTCGATGAAATCCTCGCTGTGCTGACAGTATTGTTGTCTTCAATTTTCAGAAATTATGTGTAGTCAAACCATCCTTTCTTTCTCTTAAGTATTTTTGCTGGTGTGTTGCTATTCCAATTCCAAAATTACAATACAATGACAATGACAATGTTCTGCCTTACAATGCTATATATATAACTCTCATCAGGAGATGGGTGAGTGCTCTGGTGTGGTTGCTCTTTCCTATCAAACATCTGTCGTCCTTATCTCTCACCTCCTCCTTTTTGTTTGGTACTCTCTTGTAACACATAATGTATTCTTTGGCACTTATATTTTGACCTTATTGTGTTGCAAGTACCATAAAACTCGTACTAAAACTTAAACTAACTCTCATCTCTCAGTGACTCGGTCAGATCAGTGTCTATGGTGTAGCGGTCAAGTGCTTTGCTGTCGCACGCAGGAAACCGGAGTTGAATTCCCGAGTGGGGAGAAATTTTATCAAGTATATTTGTCATTCTACTGGGATGTGTATCCTCCTCCTCTCATCCCGGATTGGTCCTGAAAGGCACTCGGAAGCTCACCTCGATCCCAAATGGTTGATCTAGATTGTGACGATGGGGGCGCAAAAAATTAATGTGATGTAGCCTACATTGACATTGTCAACTCTGACCAGTGTCTGTGCTGGCAGCACTGTGGGGAAATCAAGCTGGAGGCATGCTTTATCCGGTGGGGGTTGTTTTTGGAAGAGTTTAACGGTAGGCCTACTTGCAACACAAATATAATGTACATGGCCGGTGTCAATGTCATGTTAGTGCCGAAAATTAGAGATGTTGTTATCATGCAAAGAAAAGGAGGGGGAGAGATTTAAAGGAAATGACAATAGATGTGTGTTATTTTTATAAAGATGGAGCAAATCATACCACAGTACTCGCCGACCTCATCATGTGTGGTCCTTGGAGAGGGGGTGGGGCGACGTGACTGCGCACAGATCTGATCTGCACCACGTGGTAGGCCTTGAACTGTGTGGGACTCAAATTATCTAATACATGTAATACACACAAACTAAAAATGTTTGTGAATACTTGACTCGGTGGCGGGTATCACCTGGAACTTCCACGGTGATGTTTCACCGGTATTCAAATTTCAAAGCCGACTTACCTGTTCTGTTGCTTTGATGTCCAGGTCTATCAGTCAGTGTTTTATTGTGATTTCGAAGTCGAATCGTGACACACCATGTCTAATAAGAGTACAAGTACAAAGACTAGGACGACATGTTGTTATGCGGCTTGTCACAGACATAAGAGACATGTCCTTCTACTTCTAGTTCTAGACAAGTGTATACCCCCTCTCTCTCTCTCTCTCTCTCTCTCTCTCTCTCTCTCTCTCTCTCTCTCTCAGAATTCAGTAATCCAGTTGGTGATATCGTGTTAGATTGTATTGCAGGCGATTGCGGTTCGGATGCCTTTTTAATTTAAGGTGTTTTACGCCCTCATCGACATAATTTATATCATTTAGGAGGCTGGCTTCGATCCTGCCTGATATATAATATGGCCTAGTCCACACGGAGACAGAGAGAAGGTACAACGTCCCAGTGGCAAGACTGAGACACTCGATAAAAAGTTCTCCCTATCCGGGAATCGAAATATCGGGTCTACTTCTACCCGTGAGGGCAAGGCGCCTCTCCGCTTTACCACAGACGCTGGTAAGAAGAGTAGGCCTACTTATTACTACATGTACAACTACAAGTAGTATTATAATTATCTACTTTATCTTGTGTTGTGGAGTTAGTTGTGAACAAAACTCCCCAACCCACTTGGCAGTCCAGTCCACATCATATCGTACTTCCGTACAGTACAGTCAAGTACCTCCCTGTTCTGTTCTTCCGAGCGCACAAAACATAAACATTTCAAGTGCTGTGTTGTATTATGGTATGCAGTACATGATGAACATTATATTATGTTAAAAAAATGCTAACTTGCATAAGATGAGAAGCATGCCTTTCATCACAACAAAACCGTGGGTGGTTGGCAGGCGTACTGGTAGTTGTACGTTTATTTCTTCTTCTCTCTATCTCTAAAAAGTAAAATCCCTCGGATGCTATGGTGGGGTTTGCTTCTTCTTCTTTCCTATTCAAACATGATCTATCGTCCTTATCTCTCCTCCTTTTTTGTGTTTGTTACTGTTACTCTCTTGTAACACCTCTAGATCTAATCTTCGACACATGACCTTTTTTTTATTGTGTTGCAAATGCCGTTAAAATTTTACTAAAACTAAAACTTCATCCCCTCTCCACGTTATTCTTTAGTACTAGTTACTAGTTGTAAATAATAGCAAACCCTCTAATCTAGGCCTACGATATGACCTATATATGTGTGTTTGTGTTGCAGGTGTTGTCTAAACCTCAAAACAACAATACCGTAGAACACCTTCGTTTTCCCTTGCTTAGCAACCCAGAAAAAAGATTGAAGGCCAGGGAAGAAAGAACGCACTACGCAGAGTGAAATGATTTTGGCAAAGTGCGCGTCCCCCCCCCCCCCCCCCCTTGCACACACACATACACACACACACACACACACACACACCAGCACTCGGCACTCCTCCTATCGACATCGACCCACTGCCCGCTTTGTTTGGGTCGCTTCCAACCTCCTTCCCCCTCCTCCGTGTTTTGTTTCGGTTCTCGCACACGAAAGTCTGACACACGTCGTGCATCAACAAGTCCATGTCGAAAGTCCAAAGGTTCCAAAACAAAACAAAAAAGTGCATGTTATATTTATCATGTTGGAGTATTGTTGTAGATTGATCCGTGTGGCTTTCTCACTGAGAACACGACTTATGTTTGTAAACAAAACGGTGCCCTTTGCCTCTTGACTCTTGGCAATGGCGTTGCTGTTGAGTTTGTATCCGGGTCTTCTTTGGAATCTTTGTTGAGTTTGTACATATAAAATACAAGTACATGTACTAGGCCCTATATATTTATCACAATAAACACTTAAAAATAAACACATACACATACATGAATGTAAACATACTTTACTATACATACATATACCAAGTATCATTACACACATCTATGCTCTCTCTCTCTCTCTCTCTCTCTCTCTCTCTCTCTCTCTCTCTCTCTCTCACACACACACACACACACACACACACACACACACACACACACACACAGACATTTATACATGTTGGCGTTTTGTTTGTTTTTATACGTGTACATGTAGGCTAGGCTACACATGTATAGCACACTGTGACTGTGGCCAACTTCTTGTCTCACTCAAACCCGTCTCGGTGCTCCAGAACCTGGAACGTATACGGTATAGGCCTACACAAACAGGTAATATGCCCTGGATTTTTAAAAAGAGCTTTACAGCACTTGTAGCGCAATAAGGTCACATTCACATTAGTGCCGAAGATCAGAGGTCTGTTACAAGAGAAACAACAACCAACAATTTTGTAAGCTGTAATGATAGGAAAGAAGGGGCAAACACACCAGAGCACTTTTGTCAATGATCCACTGTCCACTCTTTGGAACATGTATAACTTTTATACAAAATAACTTT